CTATACCCTTCCCCTTCCCACTCCCCTCCTACACAGTTTTCTATACTGTCCCCATCCCCACTCCCCTCGTACACAGTTTTCTATACTGTCCCCATCCCCTGTCCCCCACTCCACTGCTCCCCTCTATACCCTTCCCCTTCCCACTCCCCTCCTACACAGTTTTCTATACTGTCCCCATCCCCACTCCCCTCCTACACAGTTTCCTATACTGTCCCCATCCCCTGTCCCCCACTCTACTGCTCCCCTCTCTACTGTTCCCATCCCCACTCCCCTCCTACAGTTTCCTATACTGTTCCCATTCCCTTTCCCCTCCTATACAGTTTTCTATACTGTCCCCATCCCCACTCCCCTGCTACACAATTTCCTACACTGTCCCCATCCCCAGGCCCCTGATGTACAGTTTCCTATACTGTCCCCATCCCCACTCCCCTCCTACACAGTTTCCTATACTGGCCCCATTCCCTTTCCCCTCCTATACAGTTTTCTATACTGGCCCCATCCCCACTCTCCTCCTACACGGTTTTCTATACTGTCCCCATCCCCACTCCCCTCCTACACAGTTTCCTATGCTGTCCCCATCCCCTGTCCCCCACTCCACTGCTCCCCTCTATACCCTTCCCCTTCCCACTCCCCTCCTACACGGTTTCCCACACTGCTCCCCCCCCATCTCCCACCACACCGCTCCCCTCTACACTTCACCCCTCCCCAGCCCCTCAACATCCCCAACACCCCCCTCCCCATCGCACCCCAAACCGCCTCAATCCCACCTCCCCCGTGCCCGTCCCCCCCTCTCCACCCCGCCGGGGCCACCCCGGGCCTGTCCCGGTGCCGGTCCCGTACCGGACCAGAGCAGGAGCTTTCCGTGCGCCTCCTCCTGCGAGGCGGAGTCGTTGGCCAGCAGCGTGGAGGTGGCGGCGTAGGGCAGCGCGGAGCCCAGGCAGGCGCCGAAGCGGAGCCGCTCGCAGGGCGCGGGGCGGCGGCAGCGCGGGGGCCCGGCCGAGGCGTTGGGGGCCGCGGGGCAGCGCCCGCCCAGCGCCAGCGCCAGCGCCAGGGCCAGGGCCCAGCGCCGCATCCCGGGGGCACGGCCGGGCTCAGGGCGGCCCGCAGCGAACCGCCATGGCCTTTGTTGGGCCGGCCGGCAGCGAGCGGAGCGGAGCGGCCCCGCGGCTCCTGCCCCGCCTCGGCCCCCGCCCCAGGCCCGGCCCGGCCCGCGCCCCCCGCCGGGGCGGGCTCCGTGAGGGGAGGGAGGGAGGCAGGGCCGGGGGGCTGAGCGTGAGGGGAGAGCCGCGGGCTCCTGAGGGGAAACTCGCCTCTTTGTGAGGGAAAAGTCGCTGGGAACTGAGGGGAAAGTCTCTTCGGGACGAAAAGTCGCTCAGGGCGAGGGAAAAGCCGCGGTTGTGTTTTTGTTGTTGTTGCTGTTGTTGTTTTTTTCGTGAGGGAAAAGTCGCTGGGAACTGAGGGGAAAGTCTCTTCGGGACGAAAAGTCGCTCAGGGCGAGGGAAAAGCCGCGGTTGTGTTTTTGTTGTTGTTGCTGTTGTTGTTTTTTTCGTGAGGGAAAAGTCGCTCAGAACTGAGGGGAAAGTCTCTTCGGGACGAAAAGTCGCTCAGGGCGAGGGAAAAGCCGCGGTTGTGTTTTTGT